TCGAAGACGTCGTTGACGAGATTTCGGACGTTCGCGCGCACCGAAAATGGCCTCGTAAAACGAATACGCGACGTTACCGGGCACGTAGGCGTGGCGTTATCGTCAACACTGCTCGTTAATCGTGGGCGTCGAAGCTGCCAGCGCGTGAAACGTAATATTCCGTCGTCGTCGTCGTCGTCGTCGTCGTCGTCGTCGTTCGTGTCGTACTCGCGTACATCGATCGCGATGCTCGACAGATCCGTTTCCTTTTCGTCGTGCACTGGCGCCAATTGCAAACGGCTGGAAGAGACGAGACGCTGGAAATTTTCTCGAGTCGATAAAAACTGTGATTCGGACAGGCGTCGGTGGCTAGGTGGTAGCAGAGCCGAGTGCGTTTCTTTCGGGCTCGCAGAAATATCGCAAGCATAGGAGGTTTACGTCGTAAAAAGTATAACTGTATGGCGAAAAGAGAGTAACGCGGGAAAAGAGCGTAGATCCGGGGAGAGGCGAGAAGCAAACGAGGGTCGCGCGAACCGTCCACTCGCGGACTGGCCATAATGTTACGAGCATTATAGGCGGTTGGTGGTAGTGTCTGTCGTAGGTGGTGTGTATAGTAGGCACGACGGCATGCCTATAAGCTAATAAATTGAATGGATGTTTGCCCGGAGCTTTTGTCATGATGATCACGAGTAGCCCACGCCTGGCCTGTTGAGCACCTTTTGAATCTCTCTCCGCCAGCCTGTTCCCGTCTCTCGCGCGCGCCTCCTCCACCTCGACAACCTCGCGCGCTCGCTTCCCGACACTTTCTTTCGCTTTCGTGCGCGCGTATACCTTCGCTGATCCGTGTTACGTTCCGGTTCGTACCGAAATGTTCCGTTCCGATCCTTATCTGTCCGCGATATCGCGCATCGACATTTCCAAGTTGGCGTACAGTCAGTATCCCTGAAAGCAGCACGACTGCGTTTCCTTCTCGACAGCCTGGAACGATCAGTGTGGTTGCGCACCGGACGAACACACGTCTGCATCCATCTACACTAATTAGACGTTCGTTAACACCGACGTTTTACGGCAATGAACGATTCCGTTTTGCGACGTTCTCGCTATACCTGCGTATTTACCTGGCAGTCGTTTCATCCATTACGCGTTCTGCACCGCGAATTCTTCCAGAGAGAGAGAGAGAGAGAGAGAGAGAGAGAGAGAGAGAGAGAGGAAGAGAAAGAGAGACTGTAACCACGAATTCGACGGGGTGTCGTCGTTCTTCGAACGCGCGTTACGCGCTGCGTTACGTACTCGTACATGCAGCGTCGTACTACCGCTGTGCCGCATTGTAGCGACACGTGCATCTCCAGAAATGCATTTTTCAGCGGAGACGCGAGAAACCTTGGCGCATAAAGGATAGGCGTACGTAGGTGAATATACATGTAAAGCATGGCGGAGAGCAAGTGCGAAGGAAAGAAGCGGGCTAAAAGAAGGAAGGAAAGGAAGGAAGAAAGAAAGAAAGAAAGAAAGAAGGAAAGAAAGAAAGAAAGAACGAAAGAAAGAAAGAGAAGGAAAAAAGGCTAGGCAGGCGAGTGTCGAGGAACAGACACACCGGTTAAAAGCAGTCGTGGTGAGCGGAGTCGAGCCAGGAGAGCCGGGAGAGCTGGGAGAGCCACGCAACGCCAGTCAACTCTCAACTCGACGACTCAAGTGGTAGGGAACATTCCTTCGCTACGGCCACTATTTCATCGTTTCGTATGACGCGATATTATAAGACCCCCGCCTGCGTGTTGGCTACTACACGGTGGTCCAAAAGCAAGCATCCACCTGCGACGACGAGTCGTCTTGTACGATACCTGTAGGGAGATACGTTGCCGCGCGCCTCTCCCGCTACTATTCCCCAATGCTGGCCTCACCGGTCTGCCGATCCACCGATATTTTTCTCCAGTTTAAATCTAAATTACCGTGGAAACGGTACACCGTGCGCTCCTACGCTCGGCAACTGCGACGATTTTTGGGACGACCGGGACGGCAAAGTCGAACAGAACGCGCAAAGAGATCGAGTTTCGACTTTGCTTCTCTCCTTCTCTTTTTCTCTCTTTTTATTTTTCTCTTGTTTCTTTCTTTCTCCGATCGAGGATCCGTGACTCGGACAAAAAACGGCAGCAAAAATCCGACCGTCGAATTCTTGCGTCTTGTCATCGTCGTCGTGCGCGCTTTTGACATTTCCCTTCTAAATACGTAACGAACCGAAAGCGACACGGTTCCGTTCCGTTTCTACCGTGTGATCGACGTTAATACCATCGGGAGAAATATTTCGCGTCGCTACAACGATCACGAGAACGGGACGAGCATCGGCATCAAAAGATATTAATAATTTCTTAACACGGCGCGCTTTTAGCGCCGCGGATACCAGGAAGCTTTAGTCAGCCGTAATGTTGAGATTAAAAATGATTTATGATACATCGAACGAGGAGATAGCGAATATCCAATTGGAATTTATGATGTAATTGACTAAACGGCAGATATAATAGCAAGGCGCGACTAATACGAGTATATTCGATGAAACCGTAAAGCTCATTATCATCGACGTTGCTACTTTGTAACCGAGTAAATCGTTTTCATCTCTCTAATAAAATTAGACTAATCTTCCGATGTCTGGATCGGTGAGTCGCGTTATCGGGCTCGGATAAAAATAGGCAAAGTACGTTGCAAGACGCGCCGTACACGGTCCTTGCAAACCGACGATTCTCACGATCATGCGCTCAATGTCCTTTAGGCTGACGTCAGGTATTAAATTTCGTGCCTCTAAGTAGAAATCCAACAAGGCGATAGGGCTGACGGAGGAAAGACAGAAAGGGTCGATACGTTGAATTATTTTATTCGCGTCTCGTTGTCCTACGCGGCGCGTTACGCGTGATTCGTCCGGGCGGAAACTCGCGCGCGTTGCTCTTTCAGAGAGAAGAAAATCGCGCGAAGAAAAATCGATGGAGACGAAGGGAAGAACAGAGGGACGACGCGTCGTCGAAACGATCGTCGAAAACGAGGAAATCGGAAATCGGTACGAAATAGACGCGATGCGTCGGTCGCGCGAGCACACGCTGTTACGAAGAAATCGGTGTACGTTCGGTGGCGTCCACACGGACAGTCGAGCGAACAGAGTAGAGCAAATTGGAGTTCTGACAGGTTGCAGTGGGGTGTCCCACTATCCAACGGTGCAGAGAAAACGGATAGGGGCACCCCAGGATCCCAGACACCTATAATCGTACGGGCATAAAGTTGCCCGCTTGGAAACCTACGGTTCGGTCCACGGGGCCGCGCCGCGCCGCCGTACTCGTTATCCGGACTCGAATTAAATTCGAGACCTTTTCCTTTTTCTCTGCTCCATCGAGAGAACACAATCTTGCACCCGAAGGAGACGGGAGGACGTCGCGCGGTGCGATATCGAGAATATAACGTTGCTCGTTTAACATTCGTCCTTGCACCATCGTGCGACGACGCGACGAATGAAAAATTTATAAGCTATTGCATAATCGTAAATCACAACGCCGCGCCGGGATATTAACAACGACCTCTCTCTGCCTTTGCAAATATATACACGCTTGCGCGAATCGCGTTCGTATTGTTTTCTTTATCGATGTCGCAACAGGCCGGATTCGCGTTGAAATTCGAGCGAACAGACGTTTGCCTGTCGGTGTTTAGACAGAACGTTTGTAAACGCGTTGCAATTTGACAATAAGAGCGCCGATAACCCGGTAAAGCGAAAAGATATGGATGCAACGCGGCTGAAAATAAATAGTCACGTAAAGCAGCGTTGCGAAAGAGAAGGAAACGGTTCGTGGCCAACGCGGGGATATTAATTTCATGGTATACCGTTGCGTTATAAAAATAAATTACGAGCGAGAAACGAGCCGTCCCGGCTGCCGGATTAAGTAACGAAATGTTCCGAGGACATTTCCATCGGAACCGACCGCGGCCGCGAGCCAGCCAGCGTCGATCGTTCGTTCTCGACCGACAGCTATCGGTCGTCGACGGGTATCGTGGTCGAGCGAGCCGGTGCAAGGAGAAAAACGACTATAAATCGCACATGTAATACCGCTATCAACGTACATTACATGGATGCCGCGTTGTTTGATAAAT